AGGCTCCCCTGCTTGACTCGATGAGCCAGAGCTAGCGGAGCGTTCCCTTCTCCCCGGTCCCGCTGCCACCGTAGGCACGCGGGCTTTAACAGTGCCCGGTGGCGCCGGCGGAGTTCCCGGTTGCCCGGGCGGGTCCAAGGGCCGAGGGCCCGGTGGCGGCCGGCAGGAGCCTGTCGCCGCCGCTTGCTGACATCAGCAGTGAACTTGGCCCCGCGTCCCGCTGGTCCCGCTCCCGGCCGGGGTCACCGGTGCCCGCCCGGCCCAGGGGTGCAGGTGACATGCGCCCCACGTGCCCCGAGCCGGGCAGCACCACGGGCGGGCTGAGCAGCATCCCCGGGACCCCGCGCCGCGCCCGCGTACCCCCTTCCCTCAGGGGGCTGCATCCGCCCGGCTCCCACAGACACGGGGGGCGAAAGGGCCGGGACCCCCACCCGCGGGGCTTTGTGTGAGGGCTGGCGTGGGGGGGCTGCACGGGGACAGCGGAGCAGCGCGGAGTGCGGCGGGGACGGGCACGGCCCGGTCCCCGGAGCAGCGCAGGGGCCCGGGGGCCGCGCCCCCGCCTCAGCCCCGTTCGCTTCCCCCCCACCCCAATATTTTCCCCCCTGTCGAGGCGGCGGGGCGGGGCGAGGCTTGGGGGGCGTGGTCAGGCGTGGCCAATCGGAACGGCGCACTCCGAAAGTTTCCTTTTATGGCGAGGCGGCGGCGGCGGCGGCCCGATATAAAGCGCGCGCGGGCGGCGGGCGGGAGCCGCCGCGAGCTCTGCCTGTCCTCACCGCGCGCGCGCCCCGCTCCCGCCGCCGCCTCGCGCCCGCCCCAGCTCCGACCGCGCCAACTCCCTAAAGGTGAGAGCGGCACCGCGACAACGGGGGATAGGACAGTAATAATATTAACGAGAACAGTAATGAGCCGGTGTTGTTACGGATCTCGGTGTGATCGGCGTTGTTGGGACACGGCGCGCCCTTTGTGCGCTGGCGGGGTGGCGGCCCCGTAGCGCGCTGCCGCGTTTTAAGGGATAGAGACGCAGCTCGCGGTTTAAGGCCGGTTTCGGGGGTGATGCTTGCGGAGGGGGGTCGCGCCCCTGCCACCCGTGGGGCTAATCCGCCCCGTAAGAGGATTGCTGGTGCGGACGGGGGGAGCGGGCGGCTCGGCTGCTGTGTCCCGGGAGCGGCGGCGCGGACGGGGAGCGCGGGGCTTTGTCTGTTCCGCGGAGCCGCCCGTGCCGGGGTCGGGGCCCGGGGGCGTTGTCCCCCGTGAGGAGGGGCGCGGCGCCCCCGCCTCGCACATAGGAATAATCGTGGCGGCTGTTGCTTGCGGGGAGGGGGCGGCACCCCTACACGGGGCGAGGCTTTGGATCGGAACAATGCGGGGTTGGGGGGCGCAGGGGGGACCCCCCCTGTGCCCGGAGCGCAGGTGCAGGCGGGCTGCCCGCTCCGACTACACTTCCCAGGCTGCCCGTGCGGGGCGGCACATGTGCGGCAGCTGCTGCCGCCCCCCCGCCACCGGATTACACCGGAGCCGCCGGGGCTGAGCCTGGGCGGGCGGCAATTGCATAAGACGCTGGCTGTAATCCCGCCCGCGGTGCCGCCGGTCGATGGGGCAGAGCCCCGGTCACGCTTGACTAGTGAACTGGGCGTGGTGGCCAGCGCTTGTCCTGCTGCGGCTCCTTGCAGGGGCTGGCTGAGACTTTGGGGTCTGTGCATGCAGAGGGGGCGAATCCCGCCGGCCGTGCCTGGCACACGGCGGGCACCGGGCGTTACCCCGTAGGCTGGCTGGGCGCGCCAAGCCGCGCTGACTGGCACATGGCGGGGCTCTGAGCAGAGCACCGGGCGTGACCGGCGGGGCTGTGCGGAGGCGTTGAGCCCCGCTGGCCGGCTCAAGGTGGGGCACCGGGCGTGACCGGCGGGGCTGTGCGGAGGCATCGAGCCCCGCTGGGCGGGACGCGGCGGGGCGCTGGGGTGTGGCGGCCACGCCCGCCCGCTCCGGGGAGTGGCCGCCGCCGTCCCCCCGACAGCCGGTGGCGGGCGAGGCGCGGCGCGCTCCATCCATTGCCTTTTATGGTAATAATGCGAGAGGGCGCAGGGACTTCCTTTGTCCCAAATCCGCGCAGTGCCGAAATCTGGGAGGCGTCGCCCCCTCTAGCGGGCGCCGGGCGAAGCGGAGCGGCGCCGGCAGGAAGGAAATGGGTGGGGAAGGCCTTGGCGGCATCGCCTGCGCTTCCCGCCATCGCCTTCCCTTCCCGCCTGCCGCCGCGGGACGGGGCTCGCCGTGTGAGGGGGGATGCTCACGTCTCCTTCTCTCCTCTCCTCCCGCAGCCAGCCATGGATGACGATATTGCCGCGCTCGTTGTTGACAATGGCTCCGGTATGTGCAAGGCCGGTTTCGCCGGGGACGATGCCCCCCGTGCTGTCTTCCCATCCATCGTGGGTCGCCCCAGACATCAGGTAGGTGGCTGGTTGTGCTTATTGTCTAACAAAAGAGAGGAGTTTAGGTGGCAAGAAGCCCTTTTATTTGGCTTTGTACCTTGAGAGGCCTGTGCAGTGCAGCACAGCTGGTGGGGAATCCAGCCTCCTCCAGAGCCTTTGTGCAGTGTGTCAGAACAGCTGACTGAATGCATTTCCTGATAGGTGACAGCAGAGGGACAATAATTAGAGACTTAGCTTTGAATGAAGGGAGTTGTCCACTCTTCAGCTGTACTTACCACATGGTCTTTATTCTGCAGGGTGTGATGGTTGGTATGGGTCAGAAAGACAGCTACGTTGGTGATGAAGCCCAGAGCAAAAGAGGTATCCTGACCCTGAAGTACCCCATTGAACACGGTATTGTCACCAACTGGGATGACATGGAGAAGATCTGGCATCACACTTTCTACAACGAGCTGAGAGTAGCCCCTGAGGAGCACCCTGTGCTGCTCACAGAGGCTCCCCTGAACCCCAAAGCCAACAGAGAGAAGATGACACAGGTGTGTAGAACTCTGCAGCTTGGAGCTACAGCAGATAATTGCTGCAGGCCAGCTCTCCTCTTCCATGTTGTCCTCTCGTTCTTCACCACTATTCTCCCTTTTTGCCATCTTTACAGGGTTTTCCTTTCCTGACCTGAGTCTCCTCTTTGCTGGACCTTGACAGGTTTTGTTTGCTCTTCTAAGCTGGCTTTCTCTGAGACTGAACTAGCAACTTGTCTAACTGCTGTTTCTGCCTAGGCACACTAATCCATTTACAGCCCCTGAGTGACTATACTGTAGATTACTTGGCATTTGTTTGTTTCCTTGCTGTGATATGTGGATGGGTCTCTAGCAGTGGTGTCCCTGCTCAGGCTCTGACCTGGCAGGTGTGGGTGGAGACCAGGTGAGATAAGCATGGACTTTAAAGGCAAGTGTAGAGATGCCTCTTATCTAGGGGCAAAAGTAAGACCATTTGCATGGACTTGGTTAGGGTGTGTAGCAAGAACCCTGTGTTATGCTGTTGACTCAACCCCTCCTTTTCTCTGCCTAGATCATGTTTGAGACCTTCAACACCCCAGCCATGTATGTAGCCATCCAGGCTGTGCTGTCCCTGTATGCCTCTGGTCGTACCACTGGTATCGTGATGGACTCTGGTGATGGTGTTACCCACACTGTGCCCATCTACGAAGGCTATGCCCTCCCCCATGCCATCCTCCGTCTGGATCTGGCTGGCCGTGACCTGACGGACTACCTCATGAAGATCCTGACAGAGAGAGGCTACAGCTTCACTACCACGGCCGAGAGGGAAATCGTGCGTGACATCAAAGAGAAGCTGTGCTATGTCGCCCTGGATTTCGAGCAGGAGATGGCCACAGCTGCCTCTAGCTCTTCCCTGGAGAAGAGCTATGAACTCCCTGATGGCCAGGTCATCACCATTGGCAATGAGAGGTTCAGGTGCCCTGAGGCCCTGTTCCAGCCATCTTTCCTGGGTAAGTCAAACTTTTCTAGGATACTGTGTTGCCCCTTCATGTTCCTTCTGTGAAGGGTGACCTGGAGACCATGGCAGTGATGTACCATGTTTTATTTCTGATCTGTAGCAAGGCTTGTGCTGCCCACACCAGTCAGCCTCACTTCCTACACAGCTTTAAAGCTGTTTGAGGGACTTGGGTCAATAGAGCCAAAGGTTGAGTCTGTCCCAGCCATGGCTCTGTAGTGCCTTCCTGCTGAAAGGACTGGTGGTCTCTTGGTTGCCTGTAGTATCCTCTTAGGCTTCCTTGACTTTGTCTGAGCCCTTGTTGACTTGAAACTTCTGTTTCTTCACAGGTATGGAGTCCTGTGGTATCCATGAAACTACCTTCAACTCCATCATGAAGTGTGATGTGGATATCCGTAAGGACCTGTATGCCAACACAGTGCTGTCTGGTGGTACCACAATGTACCCTGGCATTGCTGACAGGATGCAGAAGGAGATCACAGCCCTGGCACCCAGCACAATGAAAATCAAGGTAGGATGGAGTTGAGGGAACATCTCACCACCACTGTTGGTTTAGCACGTGTGGGGGGTGAAATGCTGGAGTCGTGCTGCAAAAAATACAAACCATGTCTGTCTGGTACTGCCTTAATGGCCTTGGGCTGGACAGGGTGGCACCCACCCAACTGCATGAATAATGGGATTAGAGTAAAGACTGACTGCAGAGGAGGGAGGTGGGTGTGTGAGGCTGTGTCTTGATCCTGTTTGGACTTCATGGTATCTTGGCCAAGGTTAGATAAGGGAATTAGGCAGCTCCATCTTGCAGGGCCGTGCGTGGGCTGTGAGCGTAGCGTGATGCTGTGTCTGACTGGTTCCTCCTCTTCCCTGCAGATCATTGCCCCACCTGAGCGCAAATACTCTGTCTGGATCGGGGGCTCCATCCTGGCCTCCCTGTCCACCTTCCAGCAGATGTGGATCAGCAAGCAGGAGTACGATGAATCCGGACCCTCCATTGTCCACCGCAAATGCTTCTAAACCGGACTGTTTCCAACACCCACACCCTTGTGATGAAACGAAACCCATAAATGCGCATAAAACAAGACGAGATTGGCATGGCTTTATTTGTTTTTTTTTTGGCGCTTGACTCAGGATTAAAAAACTGGAACGGTGAAGGTGTCAGCAGCATTCTTAAAATGAAACATGTCGGAGCGAACGCCCCCAAAGTTCTACAATGCATCTGAGGACTTTGATTGTACATTTTTTTTGGTTTTTTTTAATAGTCATTCCAAATATTATAATGCATTGTTACAGGAAGTTACTCGCCTCTGTGAAGGCAAAGCCCAGCTCGGAGGGAGTCCACCAGTTACAGCTGGTGTTAGGTTATAATTGCTTGTCTGTAAATTATGTAACCCGACAAGTGTCTTTTTGTATCTTTCCGCCTTAAAAACAAAACACACTTGATCCTTTTTCTCTTCGATTTGTCAAGCAAGCAGCCTGTGTTCCCCAGTGATAGTTGTGAATGAAGGCTTTACAGTCCCCCCACAGGGTCTAGAAGTGGTGCCAGTATGTGGGGGAGGGAGGGGCTACCTGTACACTGACTTAAGACCAGTTGAAATAAAAGTGCACACCATAGAGGCTTGACTGGTGTTGGTTGTTTATTTTCTTTCTTCTCATGCCATTTTTTGACAGTTGCTCCCTGCTGGGATCTCGCCCTGCCAGGCTGCACAGCTCTGCTATCAGGCTGGGGGGATGCTGGTGCTTCAGGGCACAGGGCAGATGGCTCTGGGTGATATGGGAGGGGTAGAACTGAGCCTGCCAAACTTGTGGGTCTCCAAGGTTGCTGTGGGCTGGAGTTCTCCAGATACTGCCAGTGTGTGCCACAGCTGCTGGAGGAGCTGGGCTTAATGGGGAATTCACATCTTTCCAAATGTTGCTCTGTCACCCTCCTCAGTGTTTTATATCTTAGGCTGGACTGCTGGAAGCAAATGGGGTGTGCTGATCCCATAACAAAGCCTAAGCAGCTGCCTTCTCCTTCCACCAAGGCTCCTTTGACTAGTCTCAGCTCTACATTGGGCAGTGTCCCTGCTTCTCCCTGCTCCAGGTATCAGAGCTTGCCTGTCCTGCTCCCCAGTTTGCCCTGGGAGGGAGGCCTGGGTTCAGGTAGGGAGACTCATACCCTGGCAGTGTGCTGGCTGGGTGTGGAGCAGCTTTCAGGTGAAAGCAAGAGAAAGTCCTGTGAAGTGCAAAAAATTGACTTCAGAGAGCAGGGCTCTGGAGTGTTACGTGGGTGGGGCTGGGAAAAGGTGCAGGAGGAAGGAGGAAGCTTTGGCAAGATGAGTGACACAGCTCCAGTGCTGGTACCTGCCTCCAGCCCAGCCTTTGCCAGGAAGGTTTTGGGCTTACTGACTCTCTACCCATCCTTTGAGCTTCCAAACCCTCTGTGAAGCTTCAGCCCTGTTTGTTCAGCTTTGCTGATTTTGTGGAAAAGAACAGGGATAATCCTCACAAAGCTGGGACCCTGTTGGTCCCAGCGATGTCCACAAGTCCCCAGAGCTGGAGTCACATCTGTGGAAAGGAGACAGAAGATTGAGGCCACTGGGTCAGGAACCAGGAAAAGCTGAGCCAGGTAACTTGCCAGCTCTGGGAGACCAGACCTGGGAGTGTATTCAGGAGTAAAGCTTCCCAAGGCTCTGCCACCCTCGCCTGCCTTTGAAGAGCAAATGTCTGTGATTGTGTCATGCTCGAAGCAGATGAAAGGCAGGGAACAGGCTCTAGTTCCTCTTTAATCCTCTGCCTGGCCTGCTCCTGCTCTGGCATCGTACCCTTCTCAGGGTGGACCTGCCGGTTTCTGCCCTTCATCTCCCCAGGCTCCCTCCTGGGTGCAGTGGGAGCCTGGCAGGGCTGGAGGTGCAGACACTGGGCTGAGCTGGTGAGTACTGGAAGCACCAGTTTGCAAGAGAGGAGGTGAAACTGGTTGGAGTAAGGCCCAAACTAGGCTTATAACCTGGGGAAATGGGGTGAGGAAGAGGCAATGGCAGCTCCTGGGGAGGGAGTTGGTGGGAGTGGGGTAGGAAAAAGGCCAACAGCCAAGAAGAGATGACAGCAATAGGGAAATGGGGTGCCTTTCTTCAGCCTCTTCTGAAATGGTCACTGATCGCTGTGGGAAAATGTACTGAGACACAAAGAATAAAAGAAACTGGTGGTGAGAAACCAGTGAGCAGCAAAATGCCCAGGGCTGAGAGCAGTTCAGGTGAGCAGAGGTGTGGGCCCAGGGAGACTGGTGCAGAGCTGCTGGACACAGGGCAATCAGGATGATTTTCATGCTCCACAGCCAATGGAGGTGTGCTGTTAGTTAACACTTGGCAGGGCTTTTTCTCCTTTCTTCCCATTTCATTTGCTGTTTTGGGTAACCAGCCCCTCAGTAAAATGAGGCTGAGCCTCCCACAGCCCTTCCCAATGCCTGTCCAGTGTGAGGCCATGGTGTGCACAGCCACACTGCAGCAGGCTGCTCCAGCAAGGCTCCATTTATCCCTCCTCTGGGCCATTACATGCTGGAGAAAAGAATGTGGTGCCGGGCAGGGACAACTGCAAGCATTACTCACTGCTCCCAACTCCAGCGAGCACGGGGGAGCCCAGAGTGGTTTCCTCTCAAGAATGTTGAGTGCTGAAAGAGAGGGGATTTTTAAAGCAGTTTCTCTGCCATGGAGTTTCAGAGGGCTCTATTCACCCCTCACTATTTCACAGAGGTGGGGAATGCCAAGAGGCCTCTCAGGGAGGGCAGTAGAGGAGCCATGTCCTGGCTTTGTTAGACTCAAAGGAGAAGCTGTGTAGGGGATAATCAGTGATCTATCTCCTCCTCTGCTCCAGCACACAAATAGCCAGGGGTTGTGGGGAGACCAGAAGCTTTAAGATGTCCACCCACAGGCCAGGCTGAGTGTGCCCCCCTGTCTGGCTCAGCCAGATTCCTCAGGCTGCAGGGACAGTGGGACTTGGCTCTAGATCCTTCTGAGGCACCCAGCCCTTTCCTACCTCCCTGTAGCTGCCCCAGGAGAGATGGCTCAGCTCAAGAGAGCTGAGCAAACATGTTTTACACCCTTTCTTCCCTCAGAGTTCCCAACTTTCCCTCCTGCTGGAGACAGTCTCTGGCACTTCACCTGCAATTAGCTGATGACCTGGAAAGTCACCTCACTGAGCTGCTTATGGAATCAAGCCACCGCCGGGAATTAGTGATGTCCTTGGCAAAGGAGATGGTTGCAGCTCTCGGGATTTAGCCCTGAAGGGCCTCATTGTCTCTCAGCTGTGTCAGGGACAGTTGACCAGAAACGGTCCCTGGATGGGGAGGGTCCTGTTCTCTCGTTAGTGAGCATGTGCTCCTCCAGGAGAGGTGCCAGCTGGCTGTGTGGAAAAATTCCAGGGAAAATCAGAGCATTCAAACTGAACTGGCCTCTTTGCAGAAGTCCCCTTGGAGGATGCAAAGCACCAGCTTTAGAAAATGGCCATTCCAAGGTACCCATTCAGGGATGGGTCTGTGGTATTGGCTGTGCTCAGAGGAGGAGCAGTCTTGGTCCCTGAAGTCGTTCTTTGCAGGACTGCTGACCTGAAGCCTGCCCTGACTTGCATTATACCCATCTGTAATCCACTTTAGCAGGCCTTACAGTATTAAACCATATCAGGGATTGAGAATCACTTCCAGCAGTGGAGCTAGCAATCCACCCAAGCATACCAAGTGCTGTGGCTGCTACAGCCCAGCTGGGCTTTAGTCAAGCTGACAAAAAGATGTTCAGGCTATATCAGTCTTAAGAAGAATCAGAGGAGAGAACTGAGACAAGACTTTCCAGAGGAAAAACACATAAAATCCCCAGGACAGACTGGCCTTGAATGTTAAGATATTTTGTTTTAAAATACCTTGATAGTGGCATTAATTTGTTTGCCTTTCTGGACTAGGACAGCATGATATGTGCCTTGCCTTGTTTGGGCTAGGAAAATGTGTATTGGTTGTAAGATGACCAAAAGTCTACCCACATGAAGAGCATTCCTGAAGTGAGGCACAGCAAGGAGGGTTTCCTCTATCACTGTCTGGCCACCTCCCAGGGCTATGAAGAGAAATGCCACAATTCAGTGTAGATGTTCAATTCCTTCCTTCTTTACTGCCCACTTCTGCCTCATGTTCAACCTCCGTGTCTGATCTGCACCAACACACTGCTCGTTTATTTGGTGGATCACAAGTCCAAATGCAGCTCCTCTTACAAAGCCTTGTTTCTCCTCAGTTCCACCCTCTGTTCCCAGTCCTTATTCGGGGTGGTCAGCTGTTCTGTGGTCGCTGTATACCCCAGGGCTGGAGGGAACCCATGGCTACTCTAAACTTCAGCTGCCTCAGCCACCCTGGCTCTCTGGGCAGGGCCTTCCCTCTGCCTTTGGGACTCACTGATGGTTTTATTTATCATTTGCATTGGAAATGCAGGTCTCCTCCACCCTGGTCTCTGCTTTCCCTGGTGACTGCAAATATGGTAGGTTGGTGTTTTTCCCAGATGTCAAACAAGTCGGTCTTGACTGAAAGGCCTCCGGATTTAATTTGTGATTACCTTTTCTTTAAGTGAAACACATGACAAACAAAGCAGGTACAGATCCTCTGCAGAAGCTCTCTCTCATCTAAGAGCTAAAAATGGTTTTCCTCTTTGACTCCAGCCTAGAAGCAAAATACATAATCAAGACTTGAGGCACTTGCTATTTCTAAGTGAAACCCCCAATTTACCCTTAATGTAATTCACGGCCTTAAATGGCAACAATCAAGCAGGAAGAAAATAGCAACTTATTCATCTTCCTTTATGGGTCATCTTTAAAACACATTTTCTATGAACAAAATTCCTGAAGCATACACGTAACTGGAAATTCCAGTGCTCTGGTCCTGTCTGTACTTGAGGTTTGGGATAGGAGCTATGTGGAGCTACACTGCTGGAGCCAGCTGCTCCCCTTGGACATGGCTGTGTGCGATGGCTGTGGTCACAGCAGCAGTCACAGCAGCCCTGGTTGATTCTGCATGGCCCTTTGCACATCTGTGAGGGGTAGGATGGTGATATTGGGAAGAAATTCTTCCCCAGGAGGGTGGTGAGGCCCTGTCACAGATTGCCCAGTGAAGCTCTGGCTGCCCCATCCCTGGAAGTGTCCAAGGCCAAGTTGGAGGGTGCTTGGAGCAACCTGGGGTAGTGGAAGGTGTCCCTGTCCTTTTGTTCATAGGAACTGGATGATCTTTTAAGTTCCAACCCAAACCATCCTAGTATCCTACAGTGTGTCCCATAGCAGTGGTTCTGCCCCGTGATTCACAACTGGAGAGGTCACACCTTGAGTGCTCTGTCCAGTTCCAGGTGCCTCAACCCCAGAAGGCCATTGAGGCACTGAAGCGTGTCCAGGGAAGGGAATGGGGCTGAGGAAGGGTCTGGAGCACCAGGAGCAGCTGAGGAAGCTGAGGGAGCTCAGCCTGGAGGAAAGGAGGATCAGGAGGGACCTTCTGGCTCTGCACAACTCCTGACAGGAGCAAGATGGGGGTCGGACTCTGCTCCCAGGGAGCAATGGGCAGGATGAGAGGAAATGGTGTTAAACTGTACCAGAGCAGGGTCAGGTTGGACATCAGGAAGCATTTACTCACAGAAAGGGCTGTCACATACTGCAAGGGGATGGGTGGTGGAGTCACCATCCCTGGAGACGTTTAAGGCAAGCCTGGACATGGCACTCAGTGCTCTGCTCTGGTTGACACGGTGGTGTTCGGTGACAGATTAGACTCGATGAGCTCGGAGCCGTTTTCCACCGTGAGCGATCCCGGCGCTCTCCGACTCCACGGCCCCGCCACTCCCACCATGGCGGCGGTGCCGCCCTCAAGATGGCGCCGCGCCGCGGCCGCGCCGCGCTCAAGATGGCGGCGCGGGGCGGGCGCTGCCGCGGAACCGGGTCATGGCCGCGCCGGAAGCGCCGGGAGGCGGCCGGGCCGGCGGGAGCGAGCCCGGGACGCGGCCGCTGCGAGCGGGGCCCGGCCAGGCGGCGGCGGCGGCTGCGGCAGGACCGTGCGGCCGCCGCCATGTCGCGCTGCGGAGAGGTGAGTCCGGGCTCATGGGGCTCAGCTCGCCCCGCGCTTCCCCTCCGCAGCGGCCCCTCGGGGCGCCGGTAACGGCGGCTGCGGCGGGGCTGCGGGAGCCCGGAGCCCCCAGGGCGGGAGCCGGGCTCGGGGGCACGGAGGGCGCCGGGATCGCCCTCGCCGGGTGTGTCCGGGGGGCTCACGGGGCTGTGAGGCGGAGCAGCCCCGCTGCCCTCGGCAGGGAGCTGCCCTGGCGTTAGTGCCGGTTTGGGCTCTGGGTTCGCCGTTAAGGTGTGAGAGTGTTGCACAAGAGCTGGCGGTGATGTTGGGCTGCAGTGTTGGTGTGTGTCTGTATGTGTAAACAGATATATATAGCCGTATCTATATGTATATATGCATGGTTATGTAACTCTAAAGGTTATTGAAACGGGTGGCGCTTGGAGGAAGGATGTAGAAAGAGATCGCTGTGTTATATTTAGGAAAAGATCATGGACAGTCACTTTTCCAGTTGCAAAGTAAGTAGAATGAATGGAAATGTTCGCCAATGGTGAAAGACCAAGTGAAAGTACCATGATTTCATGTGAAGTTTTGCCCTACCTCCATATTCTCCATTTCTTTTTCCTCTTTTTCTTTTCCACCAGGAGGTCGTAAGTGAGGAGAGTGAGGAGGAAAGCAATGGTGTCAACTTGATGGAGTTCTCAGATGAGATCCTTCTGCACATCCTCAGCTATGTCCCTTGCACAGACCTGGTCCTCAATGTCAGGAGAACCTGCAGGAAACTTGCAACACTTTGCCTTGACAAGAGTCTAACACATACAGTCCTGCTTCAGAAGGATTATAAGGTGGGGAGACTAGCTTGCTTCTTCTGTTAGCTATCAAGACAAATCTCACTTCTGTAAAACAATGCCAAGAAGTAGAACTTTCCAACGTGTATGCATAAATAGACTGCTCCTGAACTGTGAAATCAAATACACAGTAAGCTGTTTCATAGAAGCATTTATTTTCCAGTATGCTTTGTTAGAACAGTCCTGTGCTCTGTTAGTTATATAAAATACTGTCAGTGAAAAATTAACTTCTCCATATTTCTGGAAGCTAAAATGAAAGTAAACATGACCTTAAAGTTACCATTTTCCCAAAATATGTTTTCCGTGTTGTTGTGCAAAAAAAATCTTGTGCATGTTGCTGTCAGGCTTGCAATCAGCAAAGCCAGAAGTTGTGTGCATGTTAAAACAAAAATAAAGCTTGGGAAGGAAGGGTGATATATTCAATGAGAACTGTATCAGCCAGTGCAGGCAGGGGAAAGTCCCCTATGCTCGTTTCCAAAAGAGGAAACTGAATGAAGAAGAATGGAAACATTCCTCTTTCAATTAGTGTTTCTGCACATAGCCAGTTCTGCTGAAATAGCTTTGCTGATGGAAAACTGAGGTGGTTTTCCCTTCCACTCTCAGCTGCTGAGCAGCTTCTTACTCTTAGGATTACACTTCCTTTTGCTTCTAATGCAGAGCTGCAGAACTGCAGAAGCAAAAGGAAGTGTAATCTGAAGAGTCCAAAGCATGGCAGACTGAGGTGCCAGCAGTGTGGTAATTCTTAGGTTGTGCTGCCATCCCCAAACCTTTGGATGAGCCACATAATCCAAGTACCAGCCTCTCTTATCCCCACCTCCAGCTGGGAAACTGAGTCAGTGCCCAGTTCTGCCGTATCCCTCACTGAACGTGCTTTTGTTTGGGTGCAGGTGAACAAAGACAAAGTGAAGCAGCTGATGAGGGACATTGGAAGGGAGATCTACCAGCTGAACATGGCCGGGTGCTACTGGCTGCCCAGCTCCACCATCGACCACGTAACATGGTGCAAGAACCTGGTGAAGCTGAATCTGTCGGGGTGCCACGTCACCTCGCTGCGGCTCTCCAAGATGCTCTCCTCGCTGCAGCACCTGCGCTCCCTGGCCATCGACGTGAACCCGGGCTTTGATGCCAGCCAGCTGAGCAGTGAGTGCAAAGCCACCCTCAGCCGCGTCTCAGAGCTGAAGCAAACCCTCTACACACCCTCCTACGGGGTGGTGCCGTGCTGCACCAGCCTTGAGAAACTGCTGCTCTACTTTGAGATCCTCGATCGCTCGCGGGAGGGGTTCATGCTCTCTGGGCAGCTGATGGTGGGCGAGAGCAACGTGCCCCATTACCAGAACCTGCGCATCTTCTACGCCAGGCTGGCTCCTGGCTATGTCAATCAGGAGGTGGTGAGGCTGTACTTGGCAGTGCTGAGTGATCGGACGCCTGAGAACCTCCACGCCTTCCTCATCTCTGCCCCCGGCAGCTTTGCAGAGACGGGAGCCACCAAAAACCTCCTGGACTCCATGGCCCGAAATGTTCGTCTGGATGCTTTACAACTGCCCAAAGCCTGGATTAACGGCTCTGGGCTCCTGCAACACTTGAAGTTCAACAACCCTTTCTACTTCAGCTTTAGCCGATGCACCTTATCTGGTGGGCACCTGATCCAGAGGGTCATTAATGGTGGGAAGGATCTTAAAAGCCTGACCAGTTTGAACCTCAGTGGCTGCGTTCACTGCCTGGCCCCGGAGTCCTTGTTTCGGAAAGCAGAAGATGACATCGACAGCAGCATTTTGGAAAGCCTGGTAGTGTCTTGCTGCAACCTGAGACACCTGAACCTCTCTGCAGCTCACCATCACAGCTCTGAAAGCATAGGGAACCACCTGTGCCAGCTCCTGTCCAGGCTAAAGCACCTGCTCTCATTAGCACTACCAGTTTGCTCCATCACAGATGTTGGTGCAAGCGTGGAGAAGCCTCCCAGCACACCTAACTTAGTGCCCCAAACATTTGGAAGGAAAGTTCGGATTGGGGTACAGACATATCCAAGGAACTTGGGGGACCAGACAAATCAGAAGATCGAGTCCTCAGTGTTTTGGGCTCTGATGGGAAGCCTCAGATTTTTGGAAACCTTGGAGATAATTGGGTCCAGTTTCTCCTCTGCCATGCCCCGCAACGAGCCAGCAATTCGGAACTCGTTGCCTCCCTGTGTCCGGGCACAGAGCGTGGGGGATTCAGAGGTGGCTGCCATTAGCCAATTGACTTACCTGCAGAGCCTCACCTTAGCACAGCTGCCAAACATTCTCACGGGTTCTGGGCTCGTCAACATCGGGCTGCAGTGCCAGCACCTGCGGACTCTTTCCTTGGCCAACCTGGGCATGATGGGCAAGGTGGTCTATATGTCTGCTCTCATGGACATGCTGAAACACTGCAAGTGTTTGAGAGATCTCAGGTGAGGGGTTGCCCTTGAACATCTCCCATTTTGTTTGTGGATCTCCAGAAATGTGATGTGTGGTTTATTGTGGCTACTATTAGAAGCGTTCCGGTCCAGAGTACATACAATGCCTTGAAAACCGAGTATTTTCCTTCCTGACTTGTGGAGAATGGGAAGGCATTGCATGTTGTCCTTGAGGGCTCAGGATATGCCCTTTAACCAGTGTTTCAGGAGCAAAAAGTGCTGTGACTGCCTTCCTTTTAGATAAGGAAAAGTGCATGCTGCTTATTTGAGAGCTAGCAGCTTGTCAGGGCTGGTTAAACACTACGTGCCTTTGCTGTTTTTTTGGCTTTGTGTACATGCACACCTCTTAAATTTCCAGGAAGGAAGAGACTCCTACACTGTCTAGATAATGTAGAGTTTTCTTTGGGTTTCCCAATGAGATATTTTTCTGCCTTGGGTTTGTATGAAAATCTTGCCTCTTTATTTTTTTTATTTTTTTTTCTTTGTAATGTACTGAAAACATTCCAGATTTAGAGTTTGTCCTGTTGCTGTTCCTCTCCTGATAGGATTTAAAGGATCCTACCAAGGATCTGATCTTAAAGAGTGCACAAAGAAGCTTCATGGTAGCCAAGATGTGCTGTGAAAGGAAACTGTGATGGTTTCCTTGCAGTAGTCCATATGAACACAAACATTATCACTTCAGGGAGATGGGTTTTTTTTTCTTTTTTTTTTTTTTCCTTTCCAAAATCAGCCTATTTCAGTGAAACTGAAGAACCCATCAGTCCCATTGTCCCCCTTTGTTCACCAAGCTCCAAAGCGCTGTGCAGTTGAGACAGCAAGGTCACAGTTACTGTGGCTGAAATTACTGCTCATCACCTGAGACTGGTGCTTGTGTGCCTGTCCCTGGTCCACTGCAATAGTGAGGGCAGCCAGGGGGGCTGAAACACCTTAGGAGGGTTTTCATTTTCCACCACTTCCCATGCATAATGGGGGAGGAGTGTGCTGGTCTCATCCGAGGGGTGGCAGCTGTTGGGAATTCAGTTGCTCGAGGTCTTGGGTTATCTGAATGTGTCTTTAACCTTGAGGAGAGTAAATAGCCATGGAGGAACTGAGGGCTGGGGAAGGAGGTTGGGCTGTGCAGTGCTGCTTTGCTCATCCTGGGCCCTGTAGCTTCCTGAGGCTTTGAAATGGAGGCCAAGAGTGATAGAGATGGGAGGCAGCACAGAGCCTGGAATGAAGGCTGCAACAGGGCTGTCTCCTTGTGCTGCATTTGGGTGGAAACTGTCGCTCTTCTTCCCTGAGTAAAGTCTAAGGTTTTATATTGGCTTAAGATGGTTTTAGAAATTAGCACTTCCTCCCGATAACGTAGTTTCCTTTTGCTTTGACTGATTCCCTGCTGTTCCCACCCTTTTTCCTTTCCCAGTTTTCCAGGCTGAGGAACACGTTTAAGGGGCTATTCCAAAGCAACATTGCCATCTAGCGAGTGCAGGGCGGCATTACAGGTGTGGCTGGTGCATCCAGAGATTCACCTGGAAACCGCGATCCTGGAGATTCTGTGCTTTTTGTCCTAAATTTACAGTGCCTCAGTAATGATGTTGAAAAACTGAAGAGGCTGCTCGTTCTCTTGATATGAATTTTAATTTATTACCCAAAGTGTAGATATGCTCTTAGGAGCTCTTCAGGCAGTGCCACCTGACAGCAGTTGTAAGCTGAGACTGAAACAGAATTTAACAATTAACAGGATTAAGTTGCTGAGATACCCCTGCATACTACAAAGCCTGTGCAGAGATTACCCAGAGCAGGCTGGGCTGACAGCTTGTTATCACCTCATGGATTAACCTTCCTGGAGCTCTTGGCTTTCCTGACCCAATGACTGAGATTCCCAAGTGCTCTGAAGCCTGGTAGTAAATCTGCACTAAGCAGATGAACTCTCCTGCTGGCACAGGCCTCAAACCGGTTCAGCTCCTTGCAGGCTGGTTTCTATGAGGGATTCACCCACTTTTGCTGCTGGGTAAAACACAGACCCCTTGTTGGCCAGGTATGATCACTGTCATTTCATTGTCCTCTTGGATCACCGTGGTAGAGGATCCTGTCTCTCTTCCCTGAGCCAGGTGTTTAAGGTAAAGGTTGGGTTGATGATGGTTGTTCTTCCTGTGGGAGAGCAGTAGCTCTGATCCTTTGCCAGGGCTGGCTGTGGTCGCTGTGTTGGCCCCAGTTCTTCATCAGCCTGTGTGCCCTGTGTATTTTTCATGGCAGGAAGCTGAAGATAGGACCAGTTTGGGCAGTGTTTGTACACTGGAGCAGAAGGTCCCTAAATCCACACCACCTGCTTGGTGGATGTCAGGTACAGAAGCCAGGCTGTGCTTTTAAGACCAGAATGGATCTGCTGCTTCTCTTACCCACCATACTTTGTGGGAAACTTGCAAAACCAAGGTTACTCCAAGGTCACTCCCCGTGGGCGCCAGAATTCTGCATTTAGGGCTTTCCTGCCTACTTGTGCCCTTGTCCTTCAGGGCTGGAGGCACTCCTCGCTCCATTTGCCAGCCCCCCATGAATGTGCTGTGTCTTTCCCTCTTGTCTGGGAGCATCCCAGGCATGAATTGCCCATTGAGTTGTTTTTGTTTATTCCTGCAGGCTGGAACAGCCCTACTTCTGTGCGGGCGCCCAGTTCTTCCAGGCACTGAGTCACTGCTCCTCTCTCCAGCGCCTTTGCATCGTCTCCCGGAGCGGGACTCTGCAGTCTGACGCAGTGATGTCATTCATGGCCAGCTGCCTTGAGGTCATCATGTGCCACATGTTTATGGGAGAGTCTCTTACCGTTTGCAAAAATCTCCAGCAGTCCATTGTCCGGAGGTGAGTGCGGGAAAGGGTGGATGTGGGATTTCTGGAGCTGTTGGAGATTTATCTCCGCTCCCTGGCTCGCCAAGGTTTATATGGCTTGGAACTCTTGTTCCAAGGAGCTAATAGGTAATGTGTAACTGTTTGGCACACGAGCCAGCCTCTTACTTTAATAAGAGCGAATCAGTGAAATATTTGAAGGTATTATATGAATTCTTGATTCCATTCCCACCCATGTTCTCTGCAGTTCTGCTGGCCGAGTTGAAGTTCTGGATGCAAAGCTCCATCATAAATCAAATGACACTTTTTGTGTAAACAAAACATCTGCCGACATTTAAGTACTGAGAGGTTTGACCTTGAAGCTTTCCTCCTTTCCCACAAGTGACTAAGATAATTCTCTGTCCTCTAATCACTTGTAAATGTCACTTACTGATAATCCCCTGGCAGCGCAATTCAAAGCCTTTAAAGGGTTGTTGTGAAGGGTTTTTTCTTCGGAGGGTGCTTGGTGGGGGGGGATCGGTACAAACTGCCTTTGCACGTTTGGCAGTTCTTAAATGCATTTTGCTTGGCCCCTTGCAGCGTTCTGAGGCTCACGTGGTGGGAAACGTTTGTGTGTGAGCCGTGAACTGCATTTGAAAAGAGAGCTTTTAATTACGCTTGGAATTTGGAAATCTTCTAATAATGGCAGTCATCTTACAAAATATTTCCCATGCAGCAGACTTTCCATTATTATCTTTTCTTTTTTTTTTTTCTATGAGGCTATTTCCCCACCTACAGCCTGTTTTCTTTGTCACCTACTGTTGCTGTGCCCTGTTAAGCTCTAATAAAAATTTCAAATCACACGGCGTTATTAGTGCATCCTAAAGGGTGCTCCTCCCCCCGAGCCTTCCTCCAGCTTCAAACTAACTTATTACACTTGGCTTGTTTCCGTGGATCAAATCCAGGGAAGGCTGTGACTATATTAGCTCCCTACCAAACTGCTCCTGAGATTGCTGCTGCCTCTGAAAGCCTCTGTGTCCTTCTGGCATGGGGATTGTTGGAAACATCTGAGTAAATTCCTTGTGATGTGACAAGGATTCTTTGAGTTTGTTTTACACAGGGCTTCATATCTGTAAAAACATTACTGGGTTGGTTTCAGTTGTGCTTTGGGGATCCTTGGAAAGAACCAGAAATCTGCAGTTCCCATTTTTTTATTTTCCCTCTCTTCTGAGGTGCCGTTGCAGCGCTGCCCAAAATTTTAATGTCCACTTACTGAGCAGAAATAGACCATTCTGCAGTCTTTTCTCCCTCTTTTTCTCTGTCATGGACTGATTCTCACTACATTCTCTACCTCTTTATAATCTAAACCCTGGGAACTTTCTAAAGAGCAGCTGATGCCTGGTGGAAATGTTAAAAACTATTTTTATATTTAGCTACAGTTCTGGCTGTCAAGCTTATTTTCTTCTTTTGTATTTTATTAATAGAGACACTTGTATGAAAACAGGGTTTTTTGAAGGTGGGTTTTGGTTTGTTTTTTTTTTTTTTTGACTGAAGAGAGCATCTGCTCCTTCTGCAAATTCTACACCTGAAGTCATAATCCTCTGTGACATTGTAATTGGTGGCTCTGGAAACGATTTTGATGTCATGTAAGATTATGACTTCAGGAGGAGGATAAGCAGTGGGAGCAGATGCTCTCCTAAGCAACCAAGATCCTGTTCTCATGCAACTGTCTCTAGTAATCAAATGGAAGAAACAAAATACAGAAAATGATGTGTAAGCAAAGCCTGGAGTCTTCCATGAGCCATCAGCGAGTCTTTCACCACGTGACTTCTCCAGCAATTCCATTCTCATCCTTGCACAAATGTGCCTTGGGATGGGGTCAGGAATTGACTTGCTCTTGACTGCATTTTGCCTGCTACCCCAAGGCAGAGAGATGTGCAGTAAAATCTGTGTGTGAGCTTAAACCTGTGGGTATGGCTCCAATTCACACAGCATGGCTTCCTCTAAGAGTGTGCAGCTGGTGTCTCTTTAATCCAAGTTTTACACCAGGCAGCAAGTTGGAAGTTATCTGTCCTTGTGCCAGAATGAAACAAGGGGATTTATGCTTTTTTTTTTTTTTTTTCCCATTTCTTGAGAATGTGTGTGGATGCTGCGTGTGAAACATGGGGAGTGGGTGGGAGGGAGGATGTGAGAGCAGGGCCCTTGAACTTCTGTTTGCTCCCTTTCTTGAGCTGTGGCAATTGATCCATATTCTTCAGGTCCTACTGAGGGGCAGAGTTCCTGTTTTAGGGCTGTGGTGAAGGTGTTGTTTAGGATGAGAGATAGTTTTGAACAGCAAAATGGAGCCAAAGGGGGGGGGGGTTCACATTCTCCCAATGCCTCTAAAACAGAGAAGAAATGTGACTGGGAATGGGAAGGACCCAGGGCTGGCCATGCTGCAGGAGTTTGCTGCAGGAGGTAGAGCTGAGAGGGCTTGAAAATGAATATAGTGCAGGGCAGTCCTTTTTCAAGGGTGGGTGCACAGGAGGGTTTGGGTAACAGAAGAAGGCAGAGCCTCTCTGGGGAGAACAGACTGGTTTTAGCTGTGGAATTGTACTGGAAGATGGTGAATTTACAGGGTGTGGCGATGGGAGCTTGGGAATTAAATCTGCTGCATCACAGCAGTGGCTTAAAGCCTGAGCTGCTTCTCAAACTGTCCCTTTTTACTGTAAAAGGAGGTTAGTGTTATGTATTTCTGTTCCACTGGCCTGAAAAGAGAGGTTGTTCTCATGTCTCTTAGTCTTGTGACAGCTTTGAACCAGACCCTGTGTCGTCCAGCTTTCTGGTGAGCAGCTTCTGCTTGAAGTTTGCTGCTATTTGGGACAAACTAATTCGTGTATTCGAGTCATTAAAAGCCTCTGATTCAGTTCTGGCTCTTTTGCAATGAAACACAATAAGCAGAGCAGGGCTCATCTGGAGCCTCATCAGCAAACAGGAGGCTTGCAAGGGCAAGGTCTCCTCTGAGCTGTAGAGAAGACTGTAAAGATTGTTTCCCTCTGGGCAGATAAATCATTGCAGTGTTTTTCTTTATTCTTTTTCCTTCAGTGTGGATGGGAGGGGGGAGCTCCTTTATGGTTCAGGGAGATGCTCTGCACACAAGAAGGGTGTAGTGGTTACAGTGGGAGATGTGGCTCGAGTGATCCAGGTCCACTTCCCTGATCTTCCTCAGGTTTCACATGTGACGTTGGTCTAGTCTCAGTTTCTGTGTAAATTGACATTTTTTCCCCCCATCACATGGTGCTCAGCTGCTGCCACACTTCAGATAGCAGCAGATCCAATGAGCACAATGTTTTCCATTTTATGCTTGGACCCGAACTTTGCTGGAGTGCTCAGCTCCAAGCACGTGTTATCCCTGTTTAAATAACTCTTCTGTTCAAACCACCGCAGCACTAACCCCACAAACCCTAAAATACCACAATTTGAGGCCCTGTGGTTGGAGGTTCAGGTGTGACCCCAGACTTGCTGCTGTGCCAAAACTTCTTTGCAGAAAAGGTAAATTTGCTTTTCCATTTTGGGCTGAGCCGCCACGCTGGGATTGTTTCTAAATCCCTGCACAGACCCGTGTGTCCAAAGGCAGTTCCAAGCCTCCCAGGAGCTTTCCCGATCTTTTCCACAGCGTTATTTTGTGGAAGAGTCAGTAGATGGAGCTGTGACCCATGGAAGGCCCCACCATTTACCAACGGGCTGCATGCTAAATAATCGGTATTTATATGCCGGTATGTCTCTGCCCCAAAAATCCTGCGGGCAAGGAATTTGGATGACTTCAGGCTTGCACAGCTACATGGGGTTAGCAGGCACTTCACAAATGTGCAGGAGAAGTTGCTTTCCTGGTGCTTTCCTTGCTCTCAGAAAACAGGCTGGAAGAGGGGTGGGAAATGCCTCAGCAAATATCCCCTTGGCTTCAAGGACAGATTTTTATTTTCCACTGTGTGCCTTTAGAATTTTGTCGGTTTTAGCTGAAGTGTTTAGATAGCTCCTGTCATTGTAGTGATTTCAAGGACTCTACAACACCAGACAATACAAGCCAGTGAAAAGTCCTTGGAAAAACACCTTGGAAAAAGATCAAGAAAGCTACAATAAAATAAAAACAAACAAACAAATTTTAAAAAACCCCAAAGCAAAACACAAAACCTCTAAGAACACGACATCATTAGGGATTCTTCATAAAGAAGGGGGAAAGTGTCAAGGCGTAGAGCTGAGCTGTGGTTTATAGAAATGAATCCAAGGGGAAAACTGTGGTGCACCTGGAGTGTGTTTTGGGGTGCCCATCCAACACCCCAAAACACACAGTATTTTTTTGTTTTTTTCTGTCTTTCCATAACTCCCTGGCAGGAGGTGCAGCCAGGGGGATGCTGGGCTCTGCTGTCAGGGAACGGGGGACAGGACAAGAGGAAATGGCCTCAAGGTGTGCCAGGGAAGGTTTAGGTTGGATACTAGGGACAATTCCTTCACCAAAAGGGTTCTCAAGGCCTGGCAAAAGCTGCCCAGGGCAGTGATGGAATCTCCATCCCTGGAGGGATTTAAGAGCCATGGGGATGTGGCACCTGGGGATGGGTTCAGTGGTGGCCATGGTAGTGCTGGGGGAATGGTTGGGCTTGGTCTTAGGGGGCTTTTCCACCCTAAACAATTCTGTGATTCTGTGACTCAGGTCACTCTTGGGTTAACCAGTGCTGGAAAGTGCAGAGAATTTTTTCTCATTTAGGACAATTTCACTGTCCTGGGGATCCAAACTCAGAGGAAGAGAAACACAAACCTACCCAGCCTTATGCCTGTGTCAGGTACGAGCACTGCTTGGTTTGAAGTGACTTTCATGATAAGATTCCTGCCACTTTCTAGGAAGACCTTTCAGCCTAAATTAGATCTTCTTGTTCAGTCTTCTGTAGCATTACCTACATTTCCCTGTGCTTGTTATTGTCCTTTTTTAGTGTGAAACTCTTGGCTGGATCTTCCCTTTTTCTTAAACTGCTGATTCCAGTGGCCCTGTGTGGCTGTGAGCTTGCTGAAAGGATGAGGCAGCCTCCTGGGATTCAGTTGCAGAAACAGGGCTTCCAGGTGGGAGCACAGGGCTGAAATGGAGTATTGGAAAGTGCTGAGTGAGTCAGTCCCTCTCCTGGCATTTAGCACAGGGCTGAGTTATCACAGATGAGTTTTTGCTCACCTCAGGGCTAAGCATTCCCCCTTGCCCTGGATATCCCTGCAGCATTCTGCTCCCCTGGATTCTCATTGTGGTCTCAGGCTCATAAAATCCCATTTGGGGATCCCTTTTACTCTTAGAGGGGTTGGAGGGGGCTCTAGGGGCAGTAGGTGGTTGCAAGATCATCTTTGAATTCAGCCAATCCTGTGCTGCCCACCCGACTGCTGCAGTCCTACTGCCACTGCAAAAAGCTGCTGTGAGCACCTAGGGCTTATTCAAGATTTTCAAGCTGGTTTTGCATCCCTTCAGCACCTTCTCTTCCTTCTGACCTTGAAGAAGTGCCTGTTTGCTGCTGGCTTTCCTGGTCCCAGAGCTGCAGGCGGTGGCTGCTGATCCCACCCTGCCAGCCCCAGTGTGCAGATGGCTCCAGCCCTGCACAAGTGGGATTGCAGAGGACTTAATGTATCACCAGGCTGGTGTAGTGAATCATTAGCATCCTGCTCAAGCTTTCATTGTCTGTTTCATTTCCTGCTCTTGGAAACCCCTGAATCATTCTGTCACAGACTGAATAACAAACTGCATCCTTGTCAGATTGCGTTGCCCAAGGATTCCTTGGCGGGCTTGGCGAAGGTTGAGTGCATGAGGTGTGGCCCAGACACCTTTGCTTCTACCAGGGATGTTGTTTATGGGTGGGTTTAAATACTTTACAAGCCAGCAGGGCTTGTGGGACCATCCCCAGTTTGCCATATTAATCTGTCTTCTTTTGGGGGTCCTCACAAACCCCCTTCTTTAAATGCATTCCTGTGGCTGACCCAAATGCCTCGTTCTAACTGCCAGCTCCTCATGTGTTTTGAAAGGAATTCAGTTCTGAAACCTTCCTCAGCGGGCAGATTGGTTTGTGCATGAAATAACTTTCAAGGATTGTCCTCTCTCTCTTGGCTGAGAAATAATATTGGAATAGCACTGTCGTGCTTTCTCTTCATGAGGGTGTAAAAGCCTGAACGGAAGCATTAACTGCAGCTTTAAAGCATTTCCATAGTAAAATAAATCTAATTGAGCAGTTATTGCAGTAGCTTTTTAATTTGTGGAAGAGATTAGGAAATAACTTTCAGCTTGCTCTGGCAGAGCACTCCCCTAGGACGTGTCCTGGGCGCTCTGGCATCGCTCTTTGGGTTCCTATTTCCCTCCCCCTCTAATTGTCCGGTCACATTTGAGTGATGCAGAGTTCAGCTGGCAAAATAACATAGGAACCTCAGTCTGCAGGCGTGTTTGATACAAACCTCAGCTCACAGGAGAAGCAGCAGAGTGCCATTCATGCCTTACAGGGAAACCACAGCAGAGAGATGTAATTTGCCTCGGCTCGGGATGACTCTGATGTGTTATTGCTCCTTCCCTGTGGCTCAGCACAGTGGCAAATGAAGAAGCTGCATTCAGGATAATGGGAGAGTTGGCAGTGATGTGTGTGAGTGATTTCCAGAGTCCCATCTACACCCCTTGGTCTCAGGTTGGAGGCTGCAGGGATGGGACTTAAGTGTGGAAAAATCAGCAGCTGTGGGAGAATGTTGGTTTGTCTACATAGACATGAAGGGATGGAAGATACTCCTAAAGGAAAACGCTTTATAGCAAAAATATCTCATTGTGTGGAGTTAAGAGCAACCAGAGGAATCTGAACATCTTTCCTTGGGAACTTTTCAAGTCCATTTCTGAGGTTTGGAAATAAAGTCTGCTTAGCACTGGCACTCTGGCAGGGCTGGAAGGGAGGATGGCACTAGAGAATGGATCTGCTTTAGAGTCAATGTGTGGAGGGTTTGGACCCCCCTGAGAGGCTTCTGGGGGATGAGTGGGAGGCAAAGGCTCTCCCTGCTCCCAGGAGAAGGGTCCTGGGAGAATCCCACCTACAGTTTCTTTGGTGAGGCCAAATCCTCTTTGGAAGATGCTCCTGCAGAAGCTTCTTTGGCAGTCACTGTAGGCAAGGAGGGATTTTCAGCTCCTTGGTACTGAGGTCAGGGCACGGCCAGTGGAAAAAATGTTGAGTGTTTGCCTGGCCTTCCCTGGGAAGATGAGAAAAGTGTGAGTGTGTGTGTTGGGTCATGCTGCTGCCAGCTGCTCCAGCTTGCCCTGGCACTTCCTCCATTCCACCGTGCCATGCTGCAGGAAGGGAGTTTCCAGGCTGGCTCAGGTGTGCTGGCTGAAGCTTTCAGGACAGATGCCACACTTGAACTTGGAGGTGTGAGCAAGTCTTCCAGTAAAAACAGGCTGTGCCTGGCAGAGGATTAGCAGGGCTTTGTGCATGTCGGTGAGAAAGCTGCATACGGGGCAGAAAGTGAGTTGGTGTGAAACTTCTGCTCTTGAGAAACTTGTGGCTCTCCAAAAGCAGCTCACCAGCCTGTGGGGAAGGTCAGACCAGGGAGGGGAGAGGGTGTGTGACTGCAGCAGAGACTGGTTTGCATTTGTGAGAGTTGTGCCAACCAGAGTCCACATCTGCTCTGTTCCCCCAAATCAAACTTCTCCTCATTTCCTTCCTTCCTTCCTCTCCTTCTCTAGAGCTTCTTTTTCCATAAGCTCAGCTTGGTTTGTGGAGGTCAGAGATCTGCCCTTGATCCATTCCTGATACTCTGTATTCCCTCACTTCATCTGCTGTGTGCTGCTTTTGTTGGCAGTGTTTAATTATCCCTCCTTGTGTCCTGCTTGCCAGCCTCTGGGAAGTGGGATGTGCTGAAATGTCTCATTTGGCTTAGGACTTTCCTTGGGTTTCTGTGGTGATCTCAAGGGGGAGAACATTCTTCAGCCCCAAATACTGCCTTATCCTTTGCCTGCAAGTAAAGGAGGTTTGAGCAGCACCTAATGCAGAGAGCTGTCACATCCAGGGTCTGTGGTGCAGGGGGCTGGGTGTGATCCATCTTTCCAGGCTGGCTGGGGAGATTCCCCGTGCCTTTGGGCCACCCTTTGGATCTATCAGCAGGTGGAATCTCCTGGGGACTCACTGTCCTCTCTGGAGAGGCATGTCAATGTTTGCCAGGAGATAACTGCATTCCAGGGAGGGTCTCTTTTGTCTTGCTAAAATCGAGGAAATCTGATCAAAGTGCAGCCTTGCTTTAGACTTTTTTCTCTTTCTTTTTGACTTTGTCCCTGACCTACATATTGGATCCTGCCACAGTGGTTGGAAGTAATTGAGAGTGTAGTGTTAGGCTATTTACCAAGCTGTTCACTTGAAAATAACCTTACTGAGTCCAGTCCACACCTGTTCTGGGAGAATTCTGGAGACAAATAGCAAAGCATCGTTAACCCTTTCATCCACACACAACCAGTTCAAGATCTCAGAGCAGAGAGATGCTGATGCCAGGAGGAGTTTGTGACACAGGGTGTGCTGCATCATTTGTTTCCCAGCTCTGTGGATGATTCCAGCCAGCTGCTGAGGCCAGGTCTGCTCTGTGTCCACATCCACGTGAGGACACTTCAGAAACCTCCTTGTGGAGATTCCTGCTGGGTGGTGCTTGGTTTGGTGTTGATTCTGCTGGACCAGAGGTTATGCTGGAAAATATACATGGGGGGGGAGGGAGGTGTTTTCTTTGTTATCCCAGTGGTTGTTTCTGATTAAAGGATCTGTTTTGAAGGGGCTGCTAGTCAGTTGCATAGAAAACTTGCTTTCATTTAATTAATCATGATGAGTTTAGTCTGGAGGTTTTGTAGGAGAGAGCAGGCAAGCATATCCTTGGCTTTTTTCCCTTGGAAAAAAAAAACCCAAAAAAACAAACCCAAACCAAAAAAACCAGGGCTTCATGTCTGAAACTGCAACTCTTTTGTCTCCCTGGGTCAACATCCTTCTCTGTCCTTCGGGTTTTAATTTTACAAGCCCTGCGTTTGCAGAGGTGGATGGAGTTTGAAGTCCATCCAGGTGTGGAATGAGGAAAGAACCCTCAAGAAGATTACAGGAGCTGTTCTGCAACTCATTAACTCACTCTCTTCCCCTTCTTGTTATCTCCTCCCCATGCCTGGGGCCTTTCGAAGTAGTGCTCTAAGTGCCTCTCACTTAATCTAGCCCACCTGGACAGGTGTATGAAGAAAGGAATTGCCTTCCGGGGGAGGACTAAAGGAGCAGAGATTGCAGAGGGAGGCTGCTTTTGGGAACTGCTAATCCCAGTTTAACATTATGACAGCTGCTCGTTAAAATCGGGGTGTTTTTTAACAGGCAGTTAAAGGAGAGGCTTTGCACGCACATTTAACTGAGAATAATAGTGAACCATGTGCATTTGATTTTTTTTTTCCTTAAATCACGCAAATTGTACATGGAAAGAATTCTCTGGCGTCAACTTGCTGGGGTATGGAATTTACAAGGTTTGCAGTAACATACAGTTTCCTGTTGAAGGGGGGGAGAAAATCACAAAGCTTTCTTTTTTTTCTCTTATTTTAAGATCAAGTTCAAACCCCTGGTATAAACCCAGCCTCTTGAGGAGGGACACTTAACTGCGTTGGGGTTTTTCACTTGTCTCGGTGGCAGTTCATCATGTAAACTTGTCTGGGTTCTTGTTTTTATAGCTACATGTAAAGGCTGCTTATAAACTACAATTTTGTACATGGTGAGAAGGCAGCACTCAGGTCCAATTTGGGAGAGTCTGTATACAAAGAAGGAAGCAGTTTCTTTCCCTTGGGGAGATGACAGTTTCTTCCTTTGCTGGACTTCAGTAAACTCGGTCCATTAACATGATTTTCTCTGCAGGACTGTGGTGTTGGATAAGAAACACGAAGAGCTGAGGCAGAGCAGGGACTATCAAAGAGACATTTGGCTGTATTTTATGTGATTTCACTGCAGACTTTACCAGCTGCCTCCCAGATCAGCAGTTATTTGCTGGTTGATTTCTTGAGGGCAGTGCTGTGGAAGTAAGAAGCTGCACAGCTCTGACACAAGTCCCCAGATCTACTCAGGGAGCCGTGTCCTTTTCTGCCAGCCCTTAGGCATGAGGCATGAAGGGCAGGTCTGTGATGCAGAGAGATAGAAAATTGCCCCAGGTAGTTCTGTTGCTGGAAATTCTTATTCCTGCAGCTACTTAGGTTCAGGCAAATTAATTCAACCCACCAAGGCTGAGCAGCTAGCCTGGGAATGGAAGTTTCTCTGCTGTGTTTTTGGCAGCTCTACTCCAAATCGTTTGTGGATGGGAATGTCCTTTCTGTCTCCCAGGAGATGCCAGTCTCTCGTGGTGCTTTCTTCAGCTGGCTGCATTGCTGCCTGGGATTTTCATGTCTCTTTCCAGCAGCTGGATCTCCAACCTTTCCTCAGTGTTTGACAGAAACCTGGCCATTTCAGAGCTAGAGATGAGCTGGGAATCTTCCAGGCACGCACCTGTCTAAGTTTGTCGATCAGAGAGCTTCTCTTTGGGCCCAGCACAGCTTGGTCCAGCCTCCAGGGACCGGTGCTGCCAGTGTGGCTCTGCCTCCTTGTGAGTGACAATGAACCGGCCCTCATCACCCCCTTCAGAGGAAACACCTTGGTGGCACAGGACTAAGAGTCACTGATCTTTTTCATTTTAAGGTGTAGCTCTTAAGGGTAATTATGCCACAGTTTTACCCCCCCAGCTTTAAAAGACTGAGCTCTTGTTACACTGCACTGCTAACACCATTTCTCTTCCTCACAGGTTGCTGTCATGTAAAGTACTTGCTGGTGGGCACTTGGGCTTTTTCTGTACGGTTCTTTCTGCGTTGTATAATGGCTTTAACTCGTGCAAATCTCTTCCTTTGCTCTGCAGCCTGGATTGAAAAGAAGGCTGCAGTGTGTGAGTGTGAGCACACTTAAATGCTTATCTGCACATCTGAGCTTTCTAAACTTGCCTATGCTCTAATTGCAGAGTGTAGACTCTGCATGCAGAACAACCCAGCCTGAAGTGATAATCCCAGGCTCAGCCCCGAGGGAATGCCTGACATTGCTCTGGCCTGATTTTCCTAATGGCTCTGCAACTTGCCTCTGGTTTGCAGGTGGTGTAAATTGTTATCGCTGAGCACCTTGCCCAGCTTGGGCAGAGCTCTTGGGATCTCTGATCCTCTAAGAATACCTACCCGTCTTCATTTATTTTTTATTAAATTTTTTTTAAACTTCTTCCTCGCTCCCGATTTTAGGTGCAATTTGGGCTTGTGGCAGCTTAGCAGACTCACTGCAAAGGGGTGCAAACCCAGCCTGAGCTCCTTGCTGACACAGAGAGGGAAGAGTGGGAGACCTGGAGCTCCAGCTGCCCCTCCTGCCTCCTCCTTCCTTGCCCCCATCCTGCATGATCGATGCCCAGGCCATCCCCTTCCCTTGCACTGCAGAACTGGTATTTTTCCTTGGCTAATCACCTGTGTCTGATTTAGTTTCCAGGCAGAGCGCCCTGCATTAAACGTCGTCATTTTCCCTCTGCTTCACGAGGACTTGACAGAGGTCATCAGAGATGTCCCCATGAGGCACTTGGATGAAATTACCTTGTTTAAAAGCAGAGTGGCTGAGGAACCTCCCAATTTGTGGTGGTGACTGCCACAGCATGGAAAGGACAAGTCAGTGTGAACCCATGGAGCAGCTTCTTGTTGGCCTGGATTTCCCATCCTTGACTCCTGGCCACCTCACTGGATGCTGTACAATCACTTCAACCAGGTGCAACTGCAAAATAAAAAAAGCTGGTTCTTTACAGTGGGGAAACATCTATTGGATATTGCTTGCATCTGAAAATCCTGTCTCAAAGGCTTGTGGAATCTGATGAGTATTTCCTTGCGGTTAATATGAATTGTTTTTGTTATTTTACTGAAGTTAAAGGTAAGAGAAACTGACTTAACAATGCTCTTTCCCCTGTGTCCCCTGGTGTCTGTCCCAAGGGCCCCTGTGTACGTTGGCAGTGTGCTTTGTGGTTTTGGTGGAAATCATTCTTTGCTTCAGTCTGTTTTTGGCAAACTAGAAAGCCTAGGCCAGCTCAGAGGCACAAAAATGTGTTGCTCAATTGAAGTGCATCACATCTTTTCTGTGTTACAAATAGGCATTTGTAGTCACACACGTGCAGTCACAGATATTTAAAGATTTGGGGTTTTTTTTTGACTGAGAAGTACCACAAGGACTCTTTATTTTTTAATAACAAATTAAGGTCATTAACGCCTTGACCATGGTGTGTTCCTGCTGGTGCTGTTTCCATTGGTCTGGTGGAAGAAGTTCTCAGCTCTTCTGGAAATCCTTGTCCTAGGGTAGATGGTGCCTACAGTGAATAAGTTGAGGCTCAGATCTGATTTATATGCAGTCTGTCTTGCAGTGTAGATGGGAATGTAGTGTTCCAGTTCTGTCCTTATATCCCATGCCTTGGGCTCATGCTAATTTTAGAGATGTTATGAAGTATTTTCACGGTGTGATTTCAGTCAGCTTCTCTGCTCCACAGAACTTCCTCAGGCATCAGTAGTGGTCTGGATCACTTTCATATTGCCTTATTTACTGAGCACTTTTAAAAGCATCAGACAGCTGTACCAAAAGCCAAGTTACAAATTCCTGGAGCTACAAGTCTGGGTGGCAGAATTTTCCTTGGTAGCATCCCAGGTCTGTCTTCTGCAAAGCAGCTGCTGACCAGAGCTGTCTGACTTCACCCAAATCCCGAATGTGTTGAGCTCTGCTCTTCTGGGGAGGCCCAGAGTCGTCCAAAGATGATGTGCCCATCTCCTTGTCAGCATTTCCTACTCAAGATGCCCTCTCCCAAATGCTCTTCTGCCCTCAGTGTCCAGAGGGAGCCTGGTCTGATGGGATAGATTTGAGAACAAAATGCATCTCCCAGCCTTGGAGGACTTTCTGTCCTTGCTTTCCAATCAGCCACGTGTGAGCCTGCCTGGAATTGTGTCCCACAGGTGTAAATCTTGAGCCAGGCTGTGACAACCTTTGTGCTCAGAGAGGTTACAGTAAAGAGCAGGTGAGTGTCAGGCTCTGCTAGCACAGGTCTGTGCTTTGCTGAGACCAACCCTGGTGGTTTGCTGTCTTTCCTGAGGCTCTCATCCTTCCCCTCTGAGGACAGGGAGCCAGCACAGCCTCTGGAGTGCAGCTGGCAGCAGGAATGTGAGGCCAGCTCCCCTGGGAATGCTGCAGCCGAGCTGGGAGTGCTCAGGTTGGAGGCTCTGCCTCAGCTTCACCTCCATGCAGCTGAGTGTGAGGAGCTGCTGCCCTGCTTCTGCCACTGTTCTCCCTCCCACTCTCCCCCCTGAGGTCGTTCTTTCTACCTCTTCACATTACTCACCTGTTTGAATCCCCTTTTTCTCCCTCTCTTCAGCACATCAGATGTGCTTTTTGGCAGGAGCACGAGCTGCTGCTCTGCCCAGCTCAGGCCACTTCAGCTCTGCCTGGTTTCTGTCCGTGTTTTTTTCCTGGGATAACTAGCAGGACTGGGCAGAGGCTGTTTGCAAAGCTGCTTTCTCCTCCTTGTTGGAAGCACTGGCAGAGTTGCTTTGTCCTGCTTGTGCCGCTGGCCTCAGGGCAGAGGGAAGGTGGAGGGTGTGGCAGGAGCTCTCTGGTGCCTTAGGGAACCTGTTCAGTCCTGTGAAGGAATCCTGATGTTTGGTTGAGTGAGGCCATCCCCAGCCTCAGCGGGGATTTCCCCTGCACAAACAGCTGTGGTGGCATCAGCAGGGGCCTGGCAGTGCTGCCAGCTCACCTCTTCCTGTTCCTCTGGAAAAGCTGGGCTGGGGGACAGTGCTGTGCAGAAAGCAGCTGCTGCTCGATTCTGGGGGGAAACCTCTGCTCCTGGGCTTGCAATCACCTGATGGAACGTGCTGTGCACTTGGCTTGGCACATCCATATCCACCTGCCTGCTGTGCTGCTGGATGGGAGCAGCAGCCAGGGATGTCTGATAGTGCTGTTGTTCTCTTGCCAGGGCTATGATGTTTGGGCATCTGTACTCGTGCAAGTGGGTCACAAGTCCTGATGATGCTGCCAGTTATAAGCAGGGCTAGGAAAGGTCACCCACAGGTGATGAAGGTAGCATCCCAAATAGTAATAAAGAGCTAAAATCTCCTTCTACCCCCAGCTCCCCAACTCCGGGCCAGTGCTTGATATCTCTACTACAAATCCTCTTACGGAGAGTGAGAATTTCCGCTGCTTTTGCACTCCAGGCAGGATTCACCAGATGTTAATAATGTGCTTATTTTCTCTAAGTGCTATTTTGGCATCGGTGTTAATTACAATTTATATTCTGCAACATTTACACTGGGAAAAGAACCCACCCTAATAGTACCCAATTGGCAGAGCTGGGCTATTAAACACAGCTCCATATGTTCTGAGCAGAGCAGTGCCTGGGACTCAGAGCCCACTCAGCACTCAGGCAGGCAGCTGCAGGGGAAGAGAGGGGAGCAGAGAGAGGGCTTTTCTGCTCCTGGATTTTATTTAATATGAAATCCCCCCCTGCTTTTCTCTGTCCCCATCTCTCCAGAAATCTCCCTCCTGCTATCTTAAGGAGGTGATCTCTGAGCCTGCTGATGCTGCTGTCCATAGGCTGAAACAAATGAATTCAATTCCAGAAGGTGCCCTTCTCACAGGGAGTGCCTCTGCAGGATCCCAGTCCCTGGTGGCTTTTCCTTGCTGCTTTCCAAAGCAGACCTCCACTCTTTGGGCACTGCAGCAGAAATCTTTGCTTTGACCACCCCCAAAGTGTCCATGGTTCTGTGGGAGAAGGATGTTCTGGGGCAGTTCTGTTCTTGTGGAAAGCTCGGTGTAGATTGCTGCTCTGCTCATGTCCAAAGTCTTGTTTGGCAAAGTGGCATTTGGTTCCTGAAACTGGCAGGGTCTGGAGTGACCCTGGTGTGGGGAATTCAGAGGGGCTAAGTCATTCTGTGGGTTTTTTGGGAGTGTAGGTTAAAGGATTGCTTCCTCAGCTGTTTGCAAAGCTGATTTCATGGTCTCTTTAGGAAATGGTAGTGTATGCACTGCTCTGTTAGGAGAAGGGGCTGTGTGGTGACAGCCTCTCCCTTCATGAGAGCTCTGACTGTGGTCACTGCTCTGTCAGGGAGAAGATGGGAGTGCGAGGAGGCAGGGCAGGATGGAGTCATGGATCTCCCTCTGGAAGCCAGACACACATCCTGAGCTTGGGCTGTTTGCTCACCTGTGGAAGGACAGGAGGCTCCCCAGGTGCTGAACCCTCCCCTCCAGGTGAGGTGTTGCTCACAGGGTAGCAGAGGGCAGGCCTGGGGCTGGGGTGCACAGAGCCACAGCCCCCCTCACTGGGGCTGAGTTCCCATCACTGCCTCCTCCTCTGCAGGACCTGTCCCCTCACAGGGATGTTCAGAACTGTGGGACAATGGGCAGGTGTGTGGGACCATCCCTGTGAGGTGCTGGGTAGTGCTGGTTTAGGATAGGGCTGTAGAAATTTGGGGCTTTCCCCCTGGTGGAGTGAACCAGTGCAGAAGGGTTGTTTCACCTGTCTAAGGGGGATGCAATTTCCTCTTGGCTGGTCTCAGCAGAGTGTCCAAAGCTGGGAGAGCAGTGCAGGAGCTGTGCTGGGTGCTGCAGAGCCCAATCTCCTTCCACTGCAGCTCTCCTGCCTCTTTGAGATGCACAGGCAGCCAGGGTACTCCAGCAGGAGAATCATTTCCATAGAAACCAATTGGGATGTTGTACAGGGAATAATGATTAATAGTGAAGGGATGTTGCCTCAGGCCCTTTTCATTTTTTAGGGGGCAGTGAGGGACAAACTGGGGCACAGGTAGGGGGACAGGGAGACTTGAAAACTAATGGAAACCATCTCTTCCATTAATTTCCAGGGCAGCTTCCCCTCTTCTCCTCCTACCCAGCCCCCCACTGCTGCTCCCAGCTTTCGTCAAATTTTCAAAATGGCTAACCTGGTTAGAAATAATCATAATAATAAAAAAGGATGGATGAGGTCTGACTACTAACATTGTTGCTGTTAGCAGCAGGATTTCAGCCATAAAACATGAAGCAAGGGAGGCATTGACCTTTCCGCTGTTTGAAATGAATGGAGACATCAATATCTATTGTTTTGTGGCATTGACCTCTGACGCTCTCAGCTCGCCCTCCCCTTTCTTTTTTTTTAATTTCCCCCTGACACTGGAGGAAAGGGGTCAGTCTGTACCATCTATTGATCCCCATCTTACTTGGTGATAGGGAAATAATTAGAATTTTAAAGATCTCTGCTGCACGCTGGTGAAATACACACACAGAGGCACAGGCTAAGCCCCCGCTTGCCATGTTGTGTTCTCCCCCCTTCCTTGCAGAGATCCAAAGCTCTGAGATCTGAAGGAAGGCAGATCAATATAGGTTTAATCATGATGGGGGTTTTATTTCAGTTTTTTAAATAGTAAAGTGTAACATTTTATGTTAATGTTGTCGGAGCCTGGCTGCCTGGTGCCTTGTTTTATTTATTCTTTTAAGTAGCCCCTTCTTTTGTGAACTTCATCTATGTACAGAGAATGTGAAATCAGGCATTGCTAATTAGCTGTATGACAATTAAGTAATGTAGCACAAAACCATTAGGACACTGGATTTGTTTTTGAAGTTTGTCCTTTGAAGTGGAAGCTGCAACTCCCTGCCCAAGGCTGCTGGGGAAAATGTTTTTCTATCAAAACTTTCTTTGAAAATAAAATGTCAGTGTAAGAGTCCCTATTTCTGTCATCTCTCCCTCTAAACAGCGGGTGGAAATTGTTTCTCCTTGTAAAAACTGCTGGCATTGATAGAAAGGGGAATTCAGGAAAGCATTAAATGGGCAGTTGGTCTCCAAACACCCTCAGTTCTGGTAGAGATATTACCAAAAATTCTTCTTTAGCTCCTTGAAAGGGAACGGTGCCACGCTAGGAGAGAAGACCCAGCTCCCAGCTCTGGAGATGGCAAAGGGAGGTGGTCCTAAAACTGGGGGTTCATCTCTGACACCCCAGGTGCCACCAGGGTGAGAGCCTGGTCACAGATCCCTGCAGGCTCCTGGGCTCGGGCTCCTCCATCGCGCGCTCGTTTGACACTTGTGTTTGCATCTGGCCCTTTGTCCTCGTGGTGAGTCCAGTTCTGAATGTGCAACTTTCATGTACGCTGGTGGCATGTAAAACTTCAAATAAAGAGTGGAACATTTGGAACCAGCTCTGCCTCCTTGCCTCCTGCTTCCCTGTCCACGTGGAGCCCAAAGCCACCCTCTGATGGGCAGTGCTTGGGCATTGCCAGGTAAGGTGTGTGTGTGTGGGCAGGGTGCGCTGGGAGCTGTGGAGTGTCACTGGGAGTGCTGGCATGAGCACTTCTGGGGTTACAGCCCTGGTCTCCTGGGTTTGGGGATGCTCTTCTGTGGTGTTTGTGGCTGTGGGCTCAGCTGAAGGAGGAGCTACTCTGTGTTTAGGAAATGATTCTCCTCTTTGGATCTCTGCACATCCGACTGCTGCGCTGTGCTGAGGTGGGACAGAGTGTTCAGTACCAGGCTGGGGGGGGACTGGAGCAGCCTGGTCCAGTGGAAGGTTCCCTGCCCATGGCAGCAGGGTTGGAATGAGATGAGCTTTGAGGTCCCTTCCAACCTGAGCTTTCCTGGGGTTCTGTAACCATTATCCCTGGGTAGGTGACTCACAGTGGCTCAAGGAAGATCCATTTCTCTGAGCAAGCCCAGGTCACCTCCCACACCTTGCTCTGACAGCTCCAGCCCCTGGATGGCAGACAGGACCTACACCACTGCTCTGTGTGAAGCCAAGGGCTAAAATCAAGTGCCTGGTGAAATGTGAACTGGGATCAATGGCACCATGACTGTGTGGATTTAGCTGGGCTGGGCTGGCTGGGGCTGCAGGAAGGGGAAGCTGGGATGATGGCAGTGGGCAGGATGGGCTGCTCATGGTGAAGGAAACTCCTCAGGCATTAACCTGCCTTGGCAGCAGCATTTCTGCCCTGGATGGATCCTGGAGCTGTGCAGTGGTGGCTGCACTGCCACCCACTCTGAGGATTGGAGGGGAGTGGGATGGATGTGCTGGGGCTGCACAGTCCTGGGCTTATCTCTGTGATCAATGCTTGAGAAAATGTGCACCCTGTTGAGCTGTCTCTGTGTTGCTGTTCCCAGGGATGGTGGTACACAGAGAAGCCAGGCTTCAGCACCTTCTTTGAGTTAGGAAAATCCACAAAATAAACACACAGGAGGAGCAGCTTGGTGGAAAATGGTGCAGCTCATGCACTCGTGTGCTTAAGTCAACTCACCCCAGGTAGCTGAAGTAGAGAAAAGCCTCAGAACTGGGCTGTGATCAGTTTTTTAAAGGTGAGTGAGTCTGTGCAGGACTTGTGGGACTGTAGGAGAGCCTCTGTGCTGGGATCTCTGCCTGCAGTGATCCAAGGTTTTATTCCCAGAGGGGATCATGGGCTCTCCTCTGTTTTTCTGTTCTGGCAGATCTGCTCACCCAGGCATGGAGTGCAGACCCTCCTTCCATCCCTCCTGTGCTTGTGTTTAAGTTATAGATTTTACTGTTCCAATAACATTTATCTAAATGTGCTTTGGGGGGAGGGAGGAAGGAGATAAGGAGGGAGGAGGCTGAGGAAAGAATGTGCTTTTGGACTCTGCTAAGCCTCCATCTTATTGCTGGGACCTGCTGTGGGGTTTTGGAATTCATGATCCCAGGGGAGGAAATGGCTGGAAGAGCTGTGGTCAGTATGAAACACTGGTGGGAGGGAACCCAGGGATAGCCTGTGCAGAGCATCCCTCTTCCCTTTTGGTACTGATCTCATGTCCTCTGCCAGCTTATCTCTTGGCAAGGAGGGGCCTGACTCAGTTTCCAGGCAGGAGAACTGGAGTGGAGGTGTGGGAATGCTGAGGGTGCAGAGCTCAGCTTGGCACAGGGAGAGATTTTCTGCCCAGGTGTCTCAGAGTGTTTGTGGGTTTGCCCTCCCCTGCACAGCCACGGGGTGGGCACGTGGGAGTAGGGGTGTCAGGGAAAGGGGCAGAAGGCCCTGGTTTTCCACTGCTGGGACATTCTCTGGGAGGTCCCCAGGGATGGGATGGCAGGAGGAGAGTTCCTCTGGGTCTGTGCTCCGAGTGCAGCTTCACCCCAGGGCGGTTTGGGAGCAGTTTGTGCATCCCTGGCACTGGCACGGAGGGAGTGTGGAGGAGAGAGGCCAGGTTGCTGCAGCTCCCAGAGGTGAAGGATGTCTGTGGCCACAGGAGGCAGCTGACAATTCCCAGGGTGCTCATTTTGGGCCTGGTGCTTCCCAGCCCCAGAGCTGGCCTCTCCCAGGGGCTGGCAGATGAGGCAGAGCTGGAGGATTCCTGCCCTGCACGAGGGAGATCCCATGTGTGAGTGAGGTTCTGACCTTGGGGACAGGTGGAAAGTCTTGGGGAGGGTCAGGAGAGGAGGAGTGATGGTGTCAGGGCATGGATGAGCTGTAGCCCTGTGATCCAGCCCTTTCTGTGCCTTTTGGTTGCCACCAGAGTGGACTCTATGGTCCCATTCCCATTTCACTGTGCTTGAATTTGGTTTTTGGCGTGGTGGTGAAGGCTTGCATGGTGAGAGAGACCCATGGCAAGTGGAGAAGAGAAGGAAAAGGATGAGCTTTCTTTTTCCTAGGAAGCACAAATGGATGGAGCAGTATTTCTGAACAAACAACTCTCTCCTCCCTGTCTCTTGGAAGCTGCATTATCAGAGCACCATTGCTGTCCTCTCTTCTCCTTCCCCCCACCAATGAACAGGAATTAAAAATACAACTAATAAAACCCTTTTACTTTCTCCTGCAGGAGGGGAAAAAAAAAAAAAAAGCAAAGCAGCCTTGAAATGCTAAAGGACATAAAGGGCATTCATGAAAGGGTTGGATGGTGGTTATTGCAGCAGGGGGAAAAACATTATTTCACTGTGCAGATAAAAGGAAGTGGAAAAGCAGCATATTTATAGCTGGGGAGCCTGGATTCCTTGTTAAGCTGCTATTATCAAATTAATGTCAAAATGCATCAAACAGGCACGAGTGTTCTGGGCCCCTTATGCAAAGTGCTTGCAAATTGGTTACAAATACATTTGTTTACAGGGGACGAGGCAGGAGCGAGCTAATTAGTCATTGTAGCAGGGCTGGTTTGTGTCTTTTTTTCCCTTTTTTTTTTACATTTTTTTGGCAATTACACAAACAAGCTGTTTTGAAGTATAAATACACGCTGCATTACAGCCCCTTTAAAGGGGAATCAAATGGGAATTGTGGGATGCAGAGGGCTTGGTGTGAGGAGCAGCGTGGTGGAGCATCGTTCTCTCCTCCTGGGTGCCACGCTGGGCACTCAGCTCTGGGATGTGCTGTGGAAAGGGAACAGCTCCCAGCCCTGGGCATCAGGAGGATGGGATGTGGCTGGAAAGGGAGCAGCTGGGTTTTGGGTCCTCTGAGAGGCCTGAACTCCCTCATATGGGGCACAATGCTGTTTTCATACAGGACCCGTTAAAGTTTCAGCTGCCCACCTCTGTCACGGGAATTCCCTTTGGGCCTGGGCTGTTTTGGGGTGGTTTTGGTGTCAGCAGCAGCTGCCAGCTCAGGGTGTGAAGCTCCTGTGCCCAGCTGGTGGGTGCTGACGTGGTTTTGGATGTAGAGAGCATCCCATGGATGTGTGAAGAAAGGAATCTGGTGTGAGCTCTCCCAGGTGAACGTGTCCTCAAGGCTTCTTTAACAAAACCACAGGCTGCACCTCCCAAACCCATTAATGAGGAAGGGAAACAGGTGAGCTTATCTGATCCTCAGTGTGGGAATGGTTGGGGAATTTGGTTGGGGGGCAGATGGAAACTTCCTGCTGCCCTGCATCTTAATACATCCCATTCTGGGAGTCAATCACACCTCTGCCACTCAGGGAAGCTGCTAATTGAATCTGCTCTGGTGGGAGAGGAGAAAGCCAAGAGGCATCTACCACCATTATTTTTAATTTCCTAAGAAAGAGAAAAGAGAGAGGAAGGAACAAGTTGTGCCCCTCTCATGCTGGAGGCCCTGACATTTCTTGGCAGAAGGTGCAAAAACCCCACGGCTGCTTCTCCATTTGGATTTGTTTGTGGTAAATCTGCCCTTCAGGCTGAAATAACCCTTCTGAGCAGGTCCTGCACTCCCAGAGGTGCTGGGATCATTGAGTTTAATGCCATCATAAAACCCTGTTGTGGGTGGGAACTGAAGAGGAGAAAATCTCAGAGGACCAAGAGCAGTGGAGAGGGCAGGGCTTTCCCCAGCCCTCCTGCAGGAGCTCTGATGTTTGCACCAGGTTTTATTCCTCCAAAACTCAGGGTAACATTTCTCTGCACCTTGGGCCTGCTTTTCAGTGCTACCTTCAAACTCCAAACCTCTCATTTCCATTCTTTGCCTGGTTGGCTTTGGTGGGCTCATTTGCCACGGGGGAGGGTGACCCACTCCCTTGGGATCAGGGGCTGTGATTTTGAGGAATGTTCCCATTTCCAGCATAGTCCTACCCCTGCCCTACAGGGTGTGCAGGAGCACAGCTCAGCTGCTCAGCAAATGCAGGGGCAGCTCGTTGTAATCAGGCTGTGCCTCGTGCCCAGTTGTTCCCATCAGGATTTGTCTCTCCTCATTTACAGCAGGGCTCTGGTGTGACTGTCACCTCCTGTGGTTGTTGGTGACCGTGCCACAGGATCCTGCTCTGGTTTGAGCAGTTGGTGTTTCACACCTGCTTTTCTTATCCAGGGGTGTTCCAGCATCTCCTAGGAGCAGACCTGGAATTTCCACCCTCTGTGAGTCACTCTGGTCACCCTTTCCCTTGCAGAAGGCTCTGGAGCCCAATGGCTTTGCCTTGGTGGGAAGGGATGATGGGGCACAGATCTGTGCTTGATTCCCTTCTCCACTGTTAATTAACATAATGAGGGTGCAGCTTTTCCTGGAGTTGTGTGTGGCAGTGACTTCCAGGCTGCCTGGTGAACCCTCAGTGCCCAAATGTGCCCAAAGTACCCAAGAGCCTTCCTTGGTGTGTCCTTGGACGTGTTCCTCAATATCCTCCTCTCCCATGTCCAGAGGGGTGGGAGCACTGCCCTCAGTCCTGCCTCCTGTATTCTCTGGGAATTACAGGACACCTTGGACACCTTGGACACCTCAGTCCTCTGGGAACATCCTCTTCTCTGGGGTGTTCCCAGAGGACTGAGGTGTCCGAGGTTTCAGA